TGTCGTGTGTGTGTGTGTGTGTGTGTGTGTGTGTGTGTGTGTGTGTGTGTGTGTGTGTGTGTGTGTGTGTGTGGATGATTCTTAGACAGGATCATGTGGTGCTCGGCTCGTGTGTGTGTGTGTGTGTGTGTGTTGCAGATCAAATTCCACACACTTGTACAGAGGGTTAATCATAGAATTCTAGAACTGGAAGGAACCTCCAGAGGTCAGCAAGTCCAGTCCCCTGCCCTCGCAGCAGGACCACACCAGACCATCTCTGATAGGTGTCTGTCTAACCTGCTCTTAAATATCTCCAATGAGGGAGATTCCACAACCTCCCCAGGCACTCTATGCCAGTGCTTAACCACCTTGGCCGTTAGGAATTTTTTCCTAATGTCCAACCTAAACCTCCCTTGCTGCAATTTCAGCCCATTGCTTCTTGTCCTGTCCTTGAGGAGGAGGGAGGAAAATTTCTCACCAACCTTTAACCCCCTTTTAGGTATTTGAAAGCTGCTATCATGTCCCCTCTGTCTTCTCTTTTCCTAAACCAACTCTTTCAGGTAATTTTTTTTTTTTCTAGACCTTTAATTTTTTTTGTTGCTGGTTTCTGCACCTTTTCCAACTTGGCCATCTTTCCTGAATGTGACACCGAGCACTGAACCCACTACTCCAACTGAGGCTTACAAAGTGGAGTTGCAGGGCTCTACTAATTATCGGCAACTTTTAGGGTTGCCATGTGTGCAGTATTTGCAGCCTCTGTCCACTTAATAAAAAAAAACAAAACAGAAAATACCAGACATAGAAAATACTGGACATTTTGGTTTTTTTCTCTGATGGAAGGCTGCTTGGGACTCCTTCCCTGTGGCTTGTGTATGGTGGTGGAGGGGAGGGGGAGTGTGGGGATTTAAAGGTACAGTGACTTTTTTTGTTCAACCAATTTTTTTTCCTGCCATGTTTGATATTTTTAATGAAAGTATCTGGCAACCCTAGCAACTCATTTTTATGGATATGTATGTGGATACAATTTTTTGTATCGCCCAGGGATCTACTAATCCGTGCAGAGTAGAGCAGAAGAATTACTTCTCAGTCTTCCTTACAACAAACTGTTGGGGCGGGAGAAGGGTGACATTGTTTCATTTTAACTTGAGGTCCACTATAACCCTCAGGTCCCTTTCTGCAGGACTCCTTCCTAGCCAGTCACTTCCCATTTTGTGTGTGAAACTGATTGTTCCTCCTTAAGTGGAAAGGGCTTGGGAGCTGAACTTGTCACACTTCTCTATCTATGACTCTACTAGGCTAAAGCAACCCCAGCCTCCTGCTTCAGGGCTGGAAGCTTGAAGGAGTTGGGTAGAAACTCCCTGCTGGTCATGGTTTCATCTGCCTCTTCTGGCTGTTTTTCTGCAAGTCAGACCAGGAGCATGATGCAGTTTGGAATTTTTTTTTCAGGGTGTTTGGAAGATGGGTGGGAAGAAACATTTTCCTGTCAAGAAGGGGGAGGAGGGGGGTTTCCAAAACCGCCAGTCTTAGCAG